AAAAAAAAAAAAAAGGAGTGTCTGGGCTTTTTAATGTCAGTGCTTTTTGTAAGAACCAAAATACACTATTCTTAGGGAATTGCTAATTGCTTTGCTTATGTTTCTTGGCAACCAGGGAAAGCTGCATATTAGAAAACCATCATCTACCATATGGTGGACACTTATTGATTCTTTGACAGCATAATGTGATTTGGATAATAAGCTATTGTTTGCTTACATATAATAAGAGAAGGTCCTGACTGCCTAAATGAGATTATAACCCCTTCCCTTTTTAAGGATATATAAGAAACAAAGAATGCAACCTTGATTTTCCACCCATTACATCTCCATCAATTTCTCCAAAGATTGTAAATTATTTACAGCCCAGAAGTTCATGTGAAAACCTTGTCATTCTATACATAAAACTTCCAAAAATTTTACTTGGAATGTTAGAAACGGAAGAGCTTCTGCAAAGCATTGGAACATTTTATTCTTTATTTTTGTCACTGTCAGGGTCCTTTTTAATCTCAAAATAATAACCAGAGGAGAATCCCTTTCAGATAATATGTGAAGAGGGAGAAATTTAAAAATCAGCTGACAAGAAGGTGTTGCTTTCTGTGTCTCCTCGTTTAGAGTTTGAGGAGGACAAGATAATGTGTCACAATTTGCTTTTTTCCCCTCTATTATTTGTTGAATGGTTTGAAAAGAAAAAGAACACTGAATATAACAAATCATTTCTTTTCAAATTAAGCCATGCATCTGAGACTTCCAATATAAAGCAACAGGTCTACAGCTGTTTAAGTGACCACATGGCAAGCGAGAAAGATAAAAGGAATCTAAAGAAAAAAACCATCTGATCGAACAAGCTAACGTATCCATCAACCTATGCACTTTGTTATGTTTTCTCACTTTGAAAAGAAAAAATATAAGTATAAACACAATCAAGGAGAAAAAAATGATTCTCTAGAATTGTACAAAAATCATCACAATACCGGAGAACACAAATCCATCCTACGTCTCAGACTTCTCTCAAACATAAAGGAAATGGCAGACTCTCTGTATCTTTGAGTAAGTGACTAATGTTACAATTAACAGAGAAAGATTTTAAATCTGTTCCCAAATCCTTTATAATAATGAAGCCAGGGTCACATAATTCCTATGTTGCTATTTTAGGCAAATCATATTTCATTAGCTATATTACTCACACTTTGAATGGTAGACATATCCAAAGCAAAGACTATTGATAAAAATATAACTCTTAAACCAGGCAAAATAATATATATTGTCAGCACATTTATTGTTGAAATACAAATATTATAGGTATGGTAATTTGTTTCCTTTCATTCATGTTCATAAAAATGTAGATGTCACTGTCTCCTTTACACACAAAGGGACTCTAAAGAGGCATCTGCAATACTGTTAGTTTTACCCTGACTTATTTAAAACTTCCTACCCAATTTGTCTTTTAACCAATGGCTTACAGCAGTATTTTTAGTTACATGATTGAAAACTTAACCCTTAAATATAAGCACATTTTACCTTTTTACTTTTTTGGAGTCACTAAGGCATAAGACAACTGACCATATTTCAGGATATAGTTTTATTTTATTTTTCAGATATTTTAATTTTTGTAGGTACATAGTAGGTGTATGTATTTATGGGGTACGTGGGATGACTTGGTACAGGCATGCAATGCATAAAAATCACATGATGTAAAATGGGCTACTCATCCCTTCAACCATTTATCCCTGTGTGACAAACAATCCAATTATACCCTTTTAGTTATTTTTAAATGTACAATTAAATAGTTATTGACTATAGTCACCCAATTGTGCTATCAAATATTAGATCTTAATTTTTTTCTATATTTTGTACCAATTAAGTGTAATAACTGAGTGAGTTAGAAGGAATGCGCCAAGCACTGAGTTCCAAATTAAGAGTCCTTTTTATTAGCCAGATACTGAGACGGCTAATGCTTAAATTTCTTTCGGCACTGAGGAAGAGGCTTAAATTCCCTTTATACCTTGATTTAGGTAGGGGAGGGAGAGCCTAGCTGAAGCAGAATTTTACAGAAGCAGAACAGGCAAGTTAGCTAGTAACCAGGGGGAGAGGAGGTTCCCAAGATTGTTGGTTGCTACGAGTATTTGCAAACAATCACCAAGGCTTGGGCGGGGTGGGGGTGGGGAGCATGTGTTCAAAGAGAGTTATACACAATAACAGGTGTGCTTGCCAAGCAGGATGCTGTTACATTGGTTATATGGTAGGATAATCACAGAGTCAGTGTGGCATAAGCACAGCATCAGTGGTCAGTGTGGCCCAGTTATGTGCCCAAAGGGGCTGTGGTAGGGAAGGCGAAGCTAGGTTGGTGTTTACAGCTAAGATGGAGTCAGTGATTCTAGCCCAGGGGAGGTTATTACATTCCCCACTGGTGTTTTTGGGGAGTCAAAGCATTGACTCCTCAGTTACAACAAGGGGGTTATAGTGGCTCCTGAGATACATAAGTTTTAACAGAATTTATGAGCTGCCTTATAAAAGTAAGGAGCCAGTTTAAAAGGCAGGGTTCAAAGATTAAGCCTAACAGTAGAAGAGGTCCCCACCAGCCCAGTAATTAAGGTAACTAACCATGGGCTCCAAGTAAACATGCTTTGGAACCATGAGGTATTTTTTTCTCATTCTTGTTGGTGTCTATCTAAATTGTCCTGGACCTTTTGGAGGGTGTCTTTTACGACTCTGGAGGTGTTAGCATAAAAACAACAGCTTTCTCCCAGTGCTGCAAATAACCCTCCTTGGGAAAGGAATACTAGATCTAAGCCCCGGCAATTTTGGAGAATTACCTCAGCTAAGGATTCCGCTTGTGCATGTAACATTTTTATGGCAGACTGGATATTTCTTAAATCAGAATCTACCTGTTGAGTTATAAATGTTAGTCCAGTTTCTCCCCAGACCAGGGCTGCAGTGCCAATGTGCTGATCCAGCTATGCTAAGACCGGCTAGGACGGGCACAATGAGGGGGACACCCCAATGAAACCTGGAGTGTAGTCTCAGAGGAGTGAGGAGATGCTGTCCTTCCGGTTCACTGTACACGTAGACCTGGGGAAGCACGTGGACCAACACGCACAGGACAGGTCCAGGTTCAGTCCCATTAACGCAGAGCTGAGGCCTGAGATGCAGGCCAGCCAAGTATTGTTGGGTGCCTGGTAGGAAACTGAAGCGTTTAAGGTAGTAAGTAGAGACTGGTTACAGGTAGCCTGAAAAGGAGAATTAGACAGTTTCTACACATTGCTGATTAGGCAGGTGGCATTTTCAGCAACGTCCCCTTGCGTAAGGGAACAGGGAAGGGTCTGGCAGGTCAGTGGACTGGAGTTGAGAGGGGCCACAACTCCTACTCCAATATAGTATGGGGATTTTGCCTTTAGGCACAGCCAGGAATCCTGAGCCCGTTGAGGCTGGGTGTCCCTAACCTGGGTAGCATAGGGGGTGCCCTTTAATGCATAATTTCAAAAGGAGAAAAACCAGCTCGGTAAGGGGTGCACTTAACTTTAAGGATGGCTAAAGGGAGGAGGTTTGTTCAACCTTCACCGGCCTCTTAAGACTAATTTTGTAAGGGTACTTTTTAAGGTCCGATTTATGCATTCTTCCTGCCCAGAGCTCTGAGGTATTGAGCTGTAGACAAAGTGAAGGCTGGCCCATTATCAGATTCTACAGCAAACAGAAGCCCATGTTGAGGGATGATTTCACTGAGTAAAAATTTAACTACCGTGGAGGCGGTTTCGTCTCTGGTGGCAAATGCCTGAGTCCCTGTTTCCTTGGGCAACGGCTGTGTTTTCCTTTTGATGCCCCTGCAGTGGATTATGGCCACCTGTAGGCGGAGACAAATGGCCTCAAGCAGGGCCAGGATTTTTTCTTTGTTTTTGATAGTTTTTCTGGCTGAGATGAGTAGCCGTGCTCCTGGTAAATAGCTCCATGAACATGCATGGTGGGAAAGGCATACCTGCTGTCAGTGTAAATGTTCATGTGTTTATTTTTACCCCATGGGAGGGCCTGAGTGAGGGCCACCAACTCCGCTTTTTGTGCCAAGGTTCCTGCCGGCAGGGCCTGGGCCCACACAGTGTCTGTTTCCATAGTCACAGCCACACCTGCCTTTTGCACTCCCTTTTCAAGGAAGCTACTGCCCTCCTTAAACACAGTAGTGTCTGCCTCCTTCAGGGGGGCATCCTGCAGGTTCAGGCAGCCAGTCTCCATAGTTTCCAATGGTTCCTGGCAATCACGGACTGGTGTGGTCAGGTCTGGATCAGGTAGAAGAGTGGCTGCATTTAAACACCTTGTGGGGGAGAAAGTTAGGTGAGGCTGATCCAACAGCAGACTTTGGTACTGTAATGTGTGAGCATTTGATATCCATTTTTTAGAGTCACTGCACAGCAATGTCTCAATGGCATGAGGAGCCATGAGGGTTAAGCTTTGGCCCAGGGTTAGTTTATTAGCCTCCTAGACCAGACTTGTGGTTGCTGTCACGGCTTATAAACAACTTGGAATGCTCGTGTTTAACTTTTTAGAGTGTGGTCACTAAGATTTTTACCTGTCTTTTTGAAGCCTTTTTAGCTGCCTTTTTAGCTGCCAGAGCAGCCTGTTTTTGTTTTTTATGGTCTTGATTGTCAAAAATCTTCTGAGCTATTTCTAGGAGTTGGGTGATACTTATCCCGGCAAATCCCTTAAGTTTTTGTAACTTTCTCCGAATGTTAGGAGCTGCCTGGGCCACAGATGCCAAATTAATAGCATGGCTATTTTTGGGAGCCGCTGGATTAAATGGGGTGTAACTTTATTTATTTAGGCCTTCTGGAGGTATTCCAAAACTCTCCAGGTGACTCACTGAGCCCCTGGAAAACTTCAGCTGTCCTAGATTTTTGAGCGGCTCCTTTAATACTGGTAAGGAGATACCGGTGGAAATTGTCCAAAGCTCTACTCCCCCACCCCAGGTAAAAACTTTTCTAGGAAGTTTCGGGCTCTCTCTTCCGGCATCCTGACTGAACTAAGTAAAAACTTTTGGCCTTCCTTTGAATACAGTTTCTTTCCTCAGATGTAAAGAAAGGGTCAGGAGAAGCTGCTGACAGTCATCCCAGGTGGGCCGGTGAGTCTGGAGCATGAACTCAACCAGTGATGTTAGAATCTGACATTTCTCAGAGAAAGGTGGGTTTTGAGCCTTCGAGTTGTACAGACTAGAAGTAGAAAAAGGGACGTAGACCAAAAACAGGACAGTCTGCTAACTACCTGGCAGGGGTGGTGTCTCCCTTAAGGGTAGGAGCGGGGCAGCTTCCTCAGTCTGAGGCCACAGTCCGGAGGTGATAGGCAGAGAGGCCACAGGAGATGAGGACAAGGAGACCAAGGGGAATCCCAGGGGAGCAGGAGGCTGAGGGTCTGATCGAAGGAGAAGTCTGGCTCAGCCAAGGAGGGGTTAGACCAGTCCCTGGGGTGTGAGGTGTGACAATCTAGGCACCAACAACCTCTATGGTGCCAGAAATTCCAGACTGGTGGATGTTTAGCACAATTTTTCCCGTAACAACGCATGATCTGTTTTTTGATAGAAAAGACAGGACTAAGATGGCCAGCCCCAACGTCTAATGAGGGATTTGACTTCATGAGATTGGAAGTCTGCACTTAGGACCTTGAAAAAGTTTTTTTACCCAATTGTCTTGGGCAATAAGGATGACAGGACATACAAATTCGAATGCTAGAGACAAACAGGACAACAGACACGAGACATACAATTTCAGATGTTAGGAACAAAACAGGACAACTGGCACTGAGGTAGAATAATGATCACGGCAGTTTCAAGGACAAACAAAGGACTAGATCCTTAGACGCAAGCCTCTAAGGCCTCCACGCACTCACACATACATGCACACATTCATTTAGAGGTTACTGAAGTCTTTTTACATTTTGTAAACAGTTGGAACCCTGAAGAAATTTTTTCCTTCTTTGTAAATGTTTTAAATTAGACAGAACCCAGGGACTCTGTCCTCCAGCATCTTGGAGTGGTGACAGAGTACAGAGGGGTGCCCTCATCAGGGCTGAACCCCTCTAGATCAGACAGAAGGACAGACCCAGGACCCTGGCCACCTGGAGTCCAGAACCAGACAGAACCAGGAACTCTAGACCACTAGAATTTAAAGACAGAAACACCAGAACCAGAACCCTTCCAGAGTCCAAAACCCAGAACACGGACCAGGGACTCTGGGACACCTAGAGTCCAAAAACCAGAACCAGGACTCTTCCAGAGTCCAAACCAGAACCGGGACCCTTCCAGAGTCCAAAAACCATAATCAAGACTCTTCCAGAGTCCAGACCAGAGCCAGGACCCCTCCAGAGTCCAAAACCAGAACCAGGATTCTTCCATAGTCCAAAACGCTTCCAGAGTCCAGACCAGAACCAGGACTCTTCCAGAGTCCAAAGCCAAAACCAGGACTCTTCCAGAGTCCAGAACCCAGAACCAGGACCAGGGGTTCTGGGGCACCCAGAGTCCAAAAATCAGAACCAGGAATTTAAAGACAGAAAAAACAGAACCAGAAATTTAGGGACAGAAAAATCAGAACCAGGACTCTTCCAGAGTCCAGAACCCAGAACCAGGATGGTTCCCAGTAACTGAATGATCCCTGTAACTTCCAGGAGTAACCAGATCAGGCCTGACTTACCTTCTCTGTGGAGCAGGACCAGGGGCTCTGAAGAATAATTTGGTGGAGGGCACCGGGAGTCTATCCACTCCCCTCTGGCAAGGGGTGGGCCATGGGGCCCTGGAATGTCTCAGGGGGTGCCTCCCCTATAGTCCACCTCTCAGCTCTGGGGAGACCGGAATGAGCCCAGTCTGCACCTGGTGGCAAATGAAAAAATCACGCTGGGGCCTCCAATTGTAATAACTGAGCAAGTTAGAAGGAATATGCCATGCACTGAATTCCAAATTAAGAGTCCTTTTTATTAGCCAGAGACTGAGAGATGGCTAACGCTTAAATTTCTCTCGGCCCCAAGGAAGGGGCCTTGATTTAGGTAGGGGAGGGGGAGCCTAGCTGAAGTGGAATTTTACAGAAGCAGAACAGGCAAGTTAGCTAGTAACCAGGGAGGAGGAGGGTCCCAGGATTGTTGGTTGCTAAGGGTATTTCCACACAATCACCAAGGGGGATTCAAAGATAACTATACACAATAGCAGGTGTGCATGCCAAGCAGAATGCAGTTACATTTGTTATATGATAGGATAATCACAGAGTCAGGGTGACATAAGCACAGTGTCAGTGTGGCCCAGTTATGCAACCAAAGGGGCTGTGGTAGGGAGGGGGAAGCTAGGTTGGCATTTACAGCTAAGATGGAGTCAGTGATGTTAGCCCAGGGTAGGTTATTACATAAGCATCCCCATGTTTTTCCCCTGCACAGTCCCCCACCTTCCCATGACCCTTCCCAGCCTCTGGTGACCATCCTTCTACTCTCTATCTCCATGAGTTCAATTGTTCTGACTTTTTAATTCCACAAGTGAGTGAGAACATGTGATGTTTGTGTTCTCTACCTGGCTTATTTCAGTTAGCATAATGACCCCAAGTTCTATTCATGTTGTAGCAAATGACAGGATATCATTCTTTTTGATAGCTGAGCAGTGCTCTATTTTGTATAAGTACCACATTTTTTAAATCCATTCCTCTGTTGATGGACACATGGGTTGCTTCCAAATTTGGGTTACCATGACCAGTCCTGCAACAAACATGGGAGTGCAGAGATCTCCTTGATATATTAACCTCCCTACTTCTGAGTATATCCCCAGTAGTGAGATTGCTGAATCATATGGTAGCTCTATTTTTAGTATTTTTGAGGAACCACCAAACTATTCTCCATAGTGGCTGTGCTAACTTACATTCCCTCCAACAGCACATGATGGTTCCCTTTTCCCCACATCGTCCCCAGCATTTGTTGTTTCTTGACTTTTTGATACAAGCCATTTTAACTGGTGTGAGATGATTGCTCATTGATAGTTTTAATATGCATTTCTCTGATAATAAATAATGTTAAGCTCCTTTTTAATATGCCCGTTTGCCAATGGTATGTCTTCTTTTGAAAAATACGTACTCAAATATTTTGACTATTTTTGATTGGATTATTAATTGGTTTCTGTATAATTGTTTGAGCTCCTTATATATTTGGGTAATTAATCCCTTATCAGAAGGTTAGTTTGAAGATGTTCTTTCTCCATTATGTGGGCTGCATTTTCACTTTGTTGATTACTTCCTTGACTGTGCAGAAACTCTTTAACGTGATGTAACCTCATTTGTACATTTTTGCTTCGGTTGCCTGTGCTTATTTGGTATTACTTAAAAAAGGTTTGCCCAGACTTATGTCCTGGAGACTTTCTCGGATGTCTTCAGATTTAAATTTTTAATTCATTTTTATTTGATTTTTATACAGTGAGCAATTGGGGTCTAGTTTCATTTTTCTGCATATGTATATCCAGTTTTTCCAGGAATATTTATTGAAGAGACTGCCCTTTCCCAACTCTATCTTCTTGGCACCTTTGTAGTAAATAAATTTGCTGTAAGTATGTGGACTTGTTTCTGGGTTCCCTATTCTTTTCCATTAGCCATGTGTCTGTTTTTATGTCAGTACCTTGTAGCTTTGGTTACTATAGCTCTGTAGCATAATTTTAACTCAGGTAGTATGATTCTTTCAGTTTTGGCCTTTTTGTTCAGAAAGGCTTTGGCTATTCTGAGTCTTTTGTGATTCAATATAAGTTGTAGAGTTGTTTTTTCTATTTCTGTGAAGAATGTTATTTCTATTTCAGTAGGGATTTCATTTAATCTGTAGATTGCTTTGGGTAGTATGGGTATTTAAAAAATGTTGATTTTTTAAATCCATGAACATGTAATATTTTTTTCATTTTTTGATTTCCTCTTCAATTTCTTTCACCAGAGTTGTATAGCTTTTGTGATAGAGAACTTTCACTTCTCACATTTAGTTAATTGCTGGGTATTTAATTTTATGTGTGGCTATTGTAAATGGAATTGCTTTTCTGATTTCCTTTTCAGATTGTTCACTGTTGGCATATAGAAATCCTACTTTTTATGTTGATTTTGTATCCTGCAACTTTACTGAATTTATCACTTCTAGCAGTTTTTTTGTTTTTGTGTTTTCTCTGTGGAGTCTTTTGGCTATTCTAAATAAAGATGATATCATCTGCAAACAAGGTGTATTAGTCAGTTTTCACACTACTGATAAAGACATACCTGAGACTGAGAATGGGCAATTTCCAAAAAAACAATGACAAAAGAAGAGGCTTAATTGGGCTTATAGTACCACATGTCTGGGGAGGCCTCACAGTCATGGCAGAAGGCAAAAAGGAGCAAGTCCCATCTTAATGGATGGCAGCAGGCAAACAAAATAAAAAAGAGCTTCTGTAGAGAAATGCCCATTTTTAAAACCATCAGATCTTGTGAGACTCACTCACTATCCCAAGAATAGCATGGGAAAAACCGGGCCCCATGATTTAATCATCTGCCAGCGGGTTCCTCTCAAAACACATGGGAATTATGGGATCTACAAGGTGAGATTTTGGTGGAGACACAGAGCCAAACCATATAATTCCACCCCTGGCATCTCCAAAATCTCGTATCTTCACATTTCAAAACCAACATGCCTTCCCAACAGTCCCCCAAAGTCTCAACTCATGTCAACATTAACTCAAAAGTCCACAGTCCAAAGTCTCATCTGAGACAAAGCAAGTTACTTCTGCCTATGAGCCTGTAAAATCAAAAGCAATTTAGTTACTTCCTATGTACAGCCACTCTGAATGAAACAAATTGGCCAAAACAAAAGAGCTACAGGCCCTTTAAAGTTCCCCGGTGATCTCTTTTATCTCCATGTCTCACATCCAGGACACACTGACACAAGAGGTAGGTTCCCAAATCCGTCTCTGTAGCTTTGCAGGGTACAGCCTCCCTCCTAGCTGCTTTCACAGGCTAGCATTGAGTGTCTGTGGCTTTTCTAGAAATACAGTGCAAGCTGTCAGTGGATCTACCTTTCTAGGGTGTGGAAGATGCAGTACCCCGATAGGGTAGTACTCTAGGACCTCTGTGTGGGGTTCTCACCTTATATTTCCCTTCTGCATTGCCCTAGCAGAGGCTCCCCATAAGCACCCTACCCTACAGTAAACTTCTGCC